TATGGCGACGAATGTTTTTCAGGGTATTAGCCGGTCCTGTACATACTTATACGGGACTCTGATGCAGTACAGGCCGAGGTCGGAGAATGGCTGAGTCAGTTGGCCTGTTAGCTGGTGCTACTCCATATGGTGTCATGCTGTCGAAGGTCGGGAGTATTCTATCGGCGGTATGAGAAGTGATTGTCAGACGCTAGCGGACTGCGGTTATCGTGACGGACGATCTTTATTTGTTTGTTTGGAAACGGCGATGGACTTCTCGTCCGAAGTCTGTCACCTTGGGGACTGCGAAGAGAAACGGCGAGCTATACATAGGTAGATATAAAGGTGATACCACTGAACTCCCAAATGCTTGTTTATTTGTTTACTCGTTGTAGATTATAGTATGAATTTGTATAGCGTGCGAATATGATTGTGCGTGTATGTACGCATGTGTCCAAACTGGAGTCTCTATTCAAAATCGCAATCGGTCTGACTAATCGAAGGAATGAAGTCGAAGGTGTAGATCTCGCGGGTACCATATTGCTGGACAACTGACACGGTGACGGGACGCACAAGGAGCTGTCTAGGAAGTCTATGCGATGGGTTATCTTTGCCGCTACCGCCATATCGTGACGAGGTGAGAGCAGATCGCTTGCGATATTCATCAGTCGCGATGGTATCACTAAATGGATCGGCAAGGAAGATCCTGTGGTGAAAGTTATAGTGTCTCGGCCCTTCCATTTTCGCTCCGCTCGATGACGCGACGATGTAATGCCTATCTCAAATGCTAAACGTTTCAGGCACAGGGGGAGCTGCCGGGAAGGCTTAATATATTTTTGCTATATGCCCGTGACTTCAATGTGGTCATTGCATCGCTAATCCGGCGGTCGCTTTGATAGACGTGATTACTAAGTTCCCCTCTCGTGTATCGATTGACTTTATGTAAAAAATTATACAATAGGGCTGAAGCAGAAGAACAAGTAAAATTACCACAGTTGCTAGCGCCGATGTTGGTATTTAACTATTTGCGCCAACCAACCCGAAAAAGTTGGCGTCCGTGGCTAGTGGTTTTATTCTTTAAACTAACGCGAGCACCCTGAAAGTACATTTAGACTGCCGAGAAAATGCCCATTAGCTTACAATGTACTGCAAGGTACTGGAAAGTATGATGAAGCCAATAAAAGCGAGTAAAGAAAACTTGTTTGCATTAGCCTTACTCTCGAGCATGTTTTAGGCGGTATTTTTATAAGGTTTCTATGTAAATGTGAGTACGGATGAAGGAGCGACACTGTCCCAGTTACCCGCAAAAGTTAGCGCAGAAGTACGTTATACTGCATTGTTGTTCAATTGACACTTTAGGTCCGTATTGGACCTTTATCTAAGTATTCCATCCACTAAACATGCAGTTTAAGTCGAATCGGTAGCACTTTATATATATATATATATATATATATATATGTATATGTATATATATATGTATATGTATATGTATATATATGTATATGTATATATATATATGTATATATATATGGCACGCCATCTGATCCGCTACGTGTACCGTACGTACTTTACGCCCGCCTAACTCGGCGGTGTTCGTCTTCAAATGCTAATTAGAATAATATATTTGAAGCTCTAACGAGCATCATTAAGGCAATCTGTTTTCTCGCCTGTTGGCTGACTCGTGTATGCGCTGGTTGTACACAAGACAGCGGCCGTGTTGCCCAACTCCGAGGCTTGACCGTCGCTCGAGAGGCAGTCAGTCGCCCAGTTTGTGAGCAGGACACCACCATTGGCGGGACCGATTGCCGACAGCTTCATTTCTTCATCTGCAACCGCCGACTGAGTGATGATGCCGGCGTTGAGTTCCCGACTCGTGCCTCTCCATCTGGAACCGTTCCAATTTTTCTGTTGACGGCGGCGATGTCTCCTCTGAATCTTGAAGAATCAACCCTTTGTACACGGCGCAACCAGAACTCACTTCAGTAATGGCTTCGAGCGGAATGATAGACAGACAAATAATCATTCTACGAACATGCACGAAACAACGATTAGCCCAGCACAGAGAGGTTGAATCGTTTTTAAAAAAATAATGATGATTGCTACAACATGCTAGGCCGCTTGGTAATACATTGTATTGGCACGCGCTTCGGAAATTGCTCCGCTTCTCTACACTGACTGTGTATTCGTTCACCAGACCAAGTCACGTAGAATAGATAGCAGACACGTTGTCAGGGTGCGATTTCTGTCTCCACTTGATGGTGTGGACATGTTGGACAGACAAAGATCTGTCGTGAACAGATAGCGGCCGACGTCCTGTTTGCGCTCGAGATTCGTTGTCTCCCTGCTTACATTTTGTTGTCGGACGAGGCGAGCTGACACTATTATTAGACCGGACGCGTCGATAGCACACAAATAGTAAGTAACAAGCGCGATGTGTACGGCAGACACTTCACTATACTCTGGCTGGTGAATGACTTTTTGCTAGAAGGAACGTTAGCTGGTAAAAGTCGCTCGACACCCGGCCGCAAGGGACAAGCACTTTACCCTATGAGAATGAGACGGGCACGCGCCGTGATACACGGAACACGCTCGGTTAGCAATGACAGCGATAGTCGGGACAGAGATCTAGGTGGTCGTCGCTGAAGGCAGTTAGTTAGCGCCTTCTTGTGTTGCCACCAATCAGACCCAAAGACATTTCCGACCTCAGCCGACTCATCAAGATGGGCATCCATTGTTATCGAGAATATGGGCGACCAAGAACTCGTCGCCACCGTACGTCAGTCTGCACATTCTTAAGCTTATGCGTAAATTAACTGTGTCATCTCACTATAGAGCTCAAACAGAGGCCTGATTAAACAACGAATGTTCCCCAGAGGCAAGCAGCTCTGAATGTACAGCCGACTATATTGAGGTCGTAACGTTAAAGGTGACAGGGGGTGATCAAAATCAGCATCCTATAGTTATCTTACAATGAAGTTCTCATTTGATTAGAACTAAATTACACTTGCATAATAGAATGAATTCACTCATATGCCACCTTCGAGTTCGAAACTGCAGTTTGGCTGGATTGAGAGCACCTTCGTGGTAGATAACGTATTTACGAGATAACCACAAAAACACGTTATGGTCTGGGTTCGATCCCGGGCATGGGCACACGGCTTCTTGTGTAATGGGAGCGAACGGTCGAGCGCAATGCTTCACAGCGACACCGGACATCGAACTCGAAACATACTTACCCAGTTATACTGGACAAAAATTTACTTAAAAAAGTAGTTGAAATAATTTCGGTTGTTAGTTTTTAAAAGTATGTAAACTTTTATTGGAAAGAAAACTTGAACGTAAAATCGCACCCACTGTCTAGTAATATAATATTTAATTTCCTTTTTATGGGTAGCCCCTTATACTACTGCTGCTGCTGCTGCTGCTAATTCTCTAAAGTGAGGCTGTCTCGAGACCTGAAACAGTGTTTCATTCTCAAAATGATTTGATATGAAATTATCACCCCTCGAATACAACGCTTACGTGAAAATCCAGTACAGATCAATCGATTTAGCAACAGCTTAATTGTCACGGTGGCTGTTAAGCAAAATCGAGCTTGCCCCAGTGGCTTCTCTTGTCTTGCTCGTACATTCTAGTCCAGCCTTGGCTAGATTTTTCGACCCGGCATCTATCAGCTGTTTAGGCCACGTATGCAGTGGCGTTGAAGGTATCCACAGTCGAAACGCTAAGTGGTCAAAAGTTGAGCCCAGTCGATGAGCGACGTTCTAGTCTCAGGCGGCGAGGGTTGGAGGGGAGTGGCGGAGAAGGCGTTCTGTAATTTGTCGGCTTCGATAGATACCGAACAACGCTCCTAGCAGAGCCTATTTGATAGGGAACACGGAAGGACACAGGAGGCCTGTTACTCACACATCAGTGAAACAGCCTTTCAATAGCGGGATGTTGTTTTATGTAAGTGTACATATTTGTATATGGTACAGGAAACCGGTGGAGCAGAATGTTGACGGAACTGATGTTACATATATGGCCAAAAAAACGTTAGAAAACGAATTGCAAAACAAAACAGAAAAAAAAAAAGCGAAAAATGTCTTCGTCTATATATACTACTGAAACTGGGATTAATTATTCCAATTTTCGTACAACTTCAAAAAATACCTTGCGTCAAATAGACGAAAGGTGACGTATATCTAATTACTCGAAAGGTGTGTGGTTTCTTCAATTCAAAGTACGATACTTTTTCAAATACAACTGACCAAATAGTTCGGGCTGCTAACGGCTGGCTGCCAGCACGAAACGATAAATGATCAAATTGCCTCGTAGAACTTCAGAGAATCTGGTCGTCTGGTGGCCAACAGGTGGTATGGTATTAGTTCACCAATGACGAAGCATGAAAACAAAATCGGTTATTGTTGATGAAGCTTGCGGGGTATATGGTTCTAAAGCAGCCCAATGCCAATGATCTACTCAGCGTAATTATAGCCTAGCTTTGAATCAGAAGGTATATAATCGTATGACGTCGCAAGGACAGCGTATTAAGAAAATCCTGTAGTAATTTCAGCGGGGGCATATCGATTCTGATTAACTGTACAGATTATTTTGCCTTCAAATAGCAACACAACTTTAAATTTAGTCAAATATACTTATAAAGTAATCCTAGTCTCATCTCTAATAATACACAACCTCCATTGATTTTTTAAGGTTTGATTTGTTATGCTTTGTATGCCGATCTAGGTAGCTAGGCGTCTACTCGGCTTGGGCTCGGACTTTTGTCGCAGTGTCGCGGTTATGGCATCACTATCGTTAACGCTGGTACAGAGGTCGACGAAAGGCCCTTATCGAGAATTCGGGCGACATATTGCGTTGATGATGCCGCCGCCGCTGCTGCCGGCAGCGACACGTCATCCTCTTTTCCTTCTTGACCTTCCCCTTGCCACACCAATAGGTAGCCAAGCGAAGATGTGTTAAGCGGTTACAACGAAGCGCCCTAGTCAGACTCGACATGCTGTGTCTCAGAAGCACCAAGACCGAGGTCCAGACATTGTTGTATGCTCAGACGACAACGTTCAAGAACTCCGGCAGCTTGCTACAATGTGGAAGCAAACAGAACACCTCTGATAGTGACAGCATCCGCCAATGACTCGAGTCGACAGTTTTAACAGCGTTTGCCAAGCCCTGATATTCGCTTCTCGATTGCAGTTGCGCTTATCAAATGCATTATGACCATTGAATTATCATTCACTCCACCTCGAGCGGCTGACGCCGGCGGACAACAGGAGATCGATCGAAGGAACGGACTTCTTTAGATGGTATGCCGATACTTCGCAAGGAGGATAGTCTCTGACGCAAGCTGTGCAGATTGCGCAGGACGGGGAGATTTTTCGTTATTATATTAACAAATACTTGGTTATTAACGGAACGAGCGGAGAATAGCTTTGTTCCGACCATGGTCAAACATCTCTGCCCTGTCCACATGCTTTTGGAAAGATAACAAACAACTAGCGTATTGAGTGGCAATGGCGTTACCACCCGTTGCATACCCTCATATCGAGCATGCTTACGTCTGACTCTTGAGCACTGTTTACAAGGAGTCTGCAGCATTGGTAGCACTTGGATGTACGTGAAAGTGATTCCACAGCCGCACTAGGCCTGCGCATTTATTTTATCCAATAGTTCTGTAGTTCCTTCGCGTGGGAATAAATGCATACATAGGTCTAGCTAATTCACGACGATAACCCGGCGACGACGACCACGAGGAAATGTGGGTAGACAATGGATTGAAATGGAGTGCGTGTGTGTATATGTGTGGCTGCTGCGTACTGAAGGAGAGGATCCTTCAGGTGCAGGCTATGTCCAAGAACTGTTGTTCCTATCTTGGATTTAATGTTACTGATACTGTTATTGCTGTTCATAGTGCTGATGTTGCTGCTGGCAGCAGCAGCCGCTGTTGAGGGCATCAGCACCTCACGAAGTCGGGCCATCACTCGATTGTGTAGCTGTCGGCTCGATTGTTGTGTTGCTGTCGGCTTTTTTTGAAGCTGCTAGATTCACTAAAAGGTCGATTTTCGTAGCTCGTACCAGCAGCGGCAGAAGCAGTAGTGGCGGTCTTCCTCCAAGCAGCCGGCTGTTACCGCCGGAGGTGTCGGCCTGTAATTACCGAGGGAGCGCCGCGCTTTTCGATGACTCCGCGGAATGTCGAACAGACGAACAGAGACGGACGAACGAACGAACGAACGGCCGGCCGGCCGATGGCCAGCAGCAGAAGCCGAAGGGACGACGAAGCGTTGCCGCACTGAGAGACCGCCCTACGTTCACACCTTCGCTAGAAAGCGCGATACCGCTATTACGGAATGGATATGTGCATGTGTACGGTGCCACTATGATGATTGTGACGACGACGACGACGACGACGACGACGATGACGACCATGACAAAGACATGGATACCCATCACACAGCCGATTACATAGAAGAAAGGAAGACCGAACCATACCGCTGAAGAGTGTCGAAGAAGTTCGTCAGTTTCATCACCAGCATCATCGGGATCGACTCAGCCGTCATCTTTAGCAGCAGCAGCAGCACGAGCCTTCTCAAAGTTGAATACCTAAATAATCGATTAGGCAAATCGAAAGAAATAAGCTAGAATGAGGATAGTGCCAAGTGAGCACACGCACTATAGAACAGTGAATAGAAGAATGACGATGTAGCGGGGTTCCCTTTGGAAGTTCGCAGAAAAACAACCCTTAGGTATCCGACTACTTCTATGTGCTTCTGCCGCTGCCACTGAAAGAGGGAGTGAACCGATACGATTTAACGGCGATGATGACGAGGACGACGACTGGATTCGATCTGTCGTCTGGCTGGATGCGTCTAAAGGCGTAAGTTGGCGCATTGCCTCTGTTACCTGTATCCTAACAAACGAGCTGCCACCGCCAGTTGCCACCGGGGACTGTTACTTGTGGCGACGACGATGATGACGATGAACCAAGAAAACACCGCTGATGCTAGTAATAGATCTTGCTCTAGTCATATCTGCTGCTGGAAGATAGAAGACCTGTTTGTATTCCGCCTTTTCTCGTCCAACAGAGCAATATATGGACGTTGGTGTTGTCATAATATGGACCTGATGTAATGAAGGGCCTAGTGCTGCTATTATTAGTAGGATAAATAATACTCTTGACTAAAGGCCCTCTTTTCCAGCCCTTCTAGAAGGACTACATGAATCGCAAGCTTTAATCTATTTAGTGTATGTCAAAGGTGCGTATATAGGTAGAACACTGGTCTGTGCTTTTGTCGAAGTTGCCGTAATAAGCGTCGCATCGTCCCTCGAACAGCTAACGGTAACGACGCTTGCTGCTTCTAGTAGCATCGTCACCGCCTGATTATTTGCGGCTTCGGCCGGCTAGCGTTAGTATCGATATTTGTCACGTGGCAAAGCAAACGTCAGTGATGATTATGGCCATCATCGATTTCAGCATAGAGACGATTAGTTGTTTGATATCGACAAGACTGCATTGTCGGCATGCCTGCAGCCGCAGTCATCACCACCAACGAGTAATACCTACCTAGTGACATTAGTAAAAAGCGGAAAATACGTACGTACAACTGGCAAGCTTTGGTACAAACACCAATCAGAGCCTAGCTCAGTTGTTACGATCTGCGTCGCACGATATAGCATACAGTTTCGTCCGACGTCGAATAAGCATCAGCAGGCGGAAGCCTGCTGATGCTTATTCGACGTCGTGTTGACAGTACAATGCTATCTAAATCGTGTAACATAAACCTTACGAGCGAACTTGTGTCAGCGTTGCGTGGCGTCTACAGCGATCTTCTGAGCTCCGTCTAATCGAATACCAGCGAAGCGGTCAAGCCTGTAGACGCCAATAGCAACAGCCGAAATCGGGTAAGTGACGTCAGAGTCTTCATCATCGAGCGACCATAATTAGAGCTTGTCATGTCATCAATAACAGTTGAAATGGCTGGCTGCCTACTGAGCGCTACTGTCAGATAGATGCTGATGTTGATGCAATTGGAGTTCACCTACGAGGTAACGAGAAAATGTAGGTGACTTCAGTTTCGTCCATTGCCTTCGTTGCTAGCCACTCTTGACGGCCAAACTCGTCACTCTTTCTTCGGCTAGAACAGGAACAAGTTGCTTTCTGTTAGCGAGTTGTTTTCATCGTCAGACAACAACAACAGTACCATCACTAATGCTGATAGAGGCAGCTACGACAACGGTGATATCCGTTCTGCGCAGCATTCGTCATCGATGTGTTGTCTCACGGCACCTCTCTCGAGCTATCCACTGGAGTTGCCATCGCAATTGGGAATAGGTTCATCAACATGAACGCATGGACAGCATCGTCATCGTATCGATGGTGTAGCGCGCTGCTGAGTTGTGGTCGTGTATCGTCTCCGTGTTTCCTTCAGCGTGTAGACGTATGGACGTCGGCACTTTCAGGTGTGCAACAGATCTATGCATTGGAAAATGCATTGCTCAGTCAGCAATACCCCTGACTCCGATCCACGGTTTGACGCGTCTCGGCCAGACAACAAGCATCGAGGGCGTACCAAGGGCAAGCGGCATGCCACCACCGTGGCCGATGCTGCTGCTGCTGCTGCTACCGCCGCCGACGCCGACACCGCCGCAGCGAAGAACGACTATAACGATGACGTTAAATTGGCCGGTTGATTTTAGTAAAGTGAAAAATGCCAGCGAGGAGATTGCTATTGCGCCTGATGCTACTATTTTTGTCCGCTGTAGCTCACTGCAAGTGAAATGCGGAGCGCGAACCTTTTCGGCGCGAGAAAACCAAAAATAAGTGCTGGGTTGATGGCTGCGGCGAAAACGGAGCGAAGAGATGCATCAACAACCGGCAGCCGGGGGTCGTTGCGGCCCCGACAACTATAACGACGATGCCGGTGGCGGTGGTAACTTTCTGAAGGCATCTAAACGGCTGTATGACTCTACTGTTTACTGACAGATGAGGCTGATATTCGCGCCCTGCTCGAGTAAATTAACTCGGACAAATTGCAGCAAACGAAGCGTCAGCAACAGCAACGAGGGCGTCAGCGAAAGAAAGCATCACTCACATGAGGAGAAAGAAGATATCACAAACGGCTTAATTCATTGATTTTCGGACGACTTCAGCAGTACTAGTAAAGAGAACAGAATTAGGAAGGCCGGAGTTTCTTGGCTGAAATTAAGTTTCTAGTGAAGTTGACTACTAGGAGGAGGGAAACGCCCTTTTTGATAGCAAACGAACGCAGAAACAGAGTCAGTAGCAGCGTCAAGGGAAGTCTTTGCAGTACTACGTCAAGTGCGATTGTAAATTTTCATTGTAGACGGCCGAAAAATTTAGCCACACAGGTAAACTGTAAGAGCTGACAGGGTTGCCCTGTATTCGGCAGCCTCGCAGCCGGTGTGGTCCAGGAAGTCGAAAGACGAGACGCTTCGGAATCCTGTTGCCGGTAGCAAATGCCACCCAATTCGATTGACGCTGTAGACGTCACAAGACATAGGTGGTTGATACAACAAGTAGTGCTGTCATAGGCACGTCTAAGCGCGCGTAGGATCCGCGCACAAGATTTCGCAAGCTTTCGAGCAGGACCGAGGTCGATGGGGCGATGGTATGAAAACGAAGGGGCAGAGGAAGGTGTTTGTTGAATAAAGAAAATTAACCTACTGGAGTTTTGACTAGTCTTCGTGGACTTACATGATTGTCTCCTCAAAACGCACGAAGCTAAAGTCAAGCAATTCGTTGAATCATCCCTCAACAAGAAGCACACTGAAGTTCTCGTTCGCTAGCTTTAGGTGTGAGGTAGACTCCAACAGTTTGTTTCTCTTCTTTTGTAGCGAACCTCGCAGCGTCTAGTTTGATGCTCAACCACGTTCTTAGCTGCTCCGACTGGCTAGACGCAGAACTTCTGCAGAACAATGCACGTAGCCAATGGTTTCTACGGAAAACACGAGAGTCTGGCGCCTTAGAGACCAAAAGCTTCGCCCTGCTGGATGCCTGATGCATTGTAGGACGCATTTCTATCTGTCTGACTCCACAGTGTCGTCAATGCGTCAACGGAGAGTTGACGTTCCCTCCGCGACACGACGATTAGAGATGAGCCTAACCCTCTAACGGCGCAACCAGCATCTAGAAGTTTGATACATCTGCTAATGACTGATTATAACTCCAGAATTTTAGGTAAACAATGTAATATGATTGCTTTACTTTAGTTTACTGTTCTGGGAAACCCCCCATCCTACACCCCGCGACTATAAAGTAACAACGATAACAATAAGCATTACGACTACTCTAAGTAGGATTTCAGATATACATATATATATATATATATATACATATACATATATATATATATATATATATAGAGAGAGAGAGAGAGAGAGAGAGATTTGAACAAGCGTCGAATAATAAAACGAATCTTGAACGCGTATCGTTGGTCGTCTCGCTAGTGCAAGACTAAAAGGAGACGCAAATATTTTGCCACTCTAGCGCCCATTTTAAATTCTGTCGTATTGCACAACTTCACATCTTGAGAGTCAGGCCAACCTCGTCAGAAACAAAGCTGGATAGTATTTGTTCTTTTTGCTCCGTATTTCTTATCTAATGGCGTATTGCGACTACTTCTGTTATTTTTTTTCCGCTATTGGATGTATCGCGTTTTCTGATATAGTCTATTAGTATCTGTTACGTTTTATCTTCTTCTGCGCCACGAGCGCAGTTGTTGTCTAATAGGCAGAATCTAGCATTAGGACACTTGATTAGACGTAAACTGACATATCGTTTTCTTTTATAAATAATCAGTACGTTCGTTTTTCTCAACAAGGCGTTAAGTGTTAGACACCGCTAACACCATCAGTGCGAAGATATTATCTCAGCTTTGCTTAGCCATTGTCTCTGTGCTTTCATCGTATATGTTCTCGGTGCAAGTGATAAGACCAACGCGACGACGAACGCTTTTTCGTCCTATCCAAAAGTAGTATAATAGTAACTCATATTATATACGTTATCAATATCCTGCCTATGTCCCGGTAATGACACAATGAGTGTTGTGTTTCCTTGTGAATCTCGTGGGGTACGTAGTATTCTGGGTTCGAATTTGGATGTGGGCAGATTTCGTGGTGTGCTGCTAAACCGCCCGGTCTGATGGCATGTCTAACGGCGGTACCGGACATAGCTCGAAAAATTCACCTTTTGCCCATAGTCGATAGTGAAAAGAAAAAAAAAAAAAAAAAAACATTTCCTGTAACACTCAGTGAAGTGTTAAAACACGATTAATATACAAGCTAACACTATGCCAGCATTTTCGAATGAACCGCTAAAATTTTCATTTCATAAAAGCAGAACGGTATATCCTATAGATCTAGAGATTTCTAGCTTTGATAGATCTGTGGTATTATGGAATTGTGTCCGGTTGAAATGGATCGAGTATAACTCACTGGTAAATCGCAAGCTAATTTTATAGAAATCGAGTAACGTTCAATTCGAACCTAAATATCTTCAGTCTTCATCGACTTGTCGGCAATGACCAGGGAACAAACGTGTCGAGTCACGGTCGTGTGATCTGTTTTCGCATTGGTCGATATCATTAGGTCGGCTGTGGCTTAGCGTGTCGCCTCACAGATAGATTACCACCTGTGAAGCGATGATCTCTCTCTCGGCAGAGGACGTATTTTGTGCCGGTCGGCACGCTTAACTTTCAGATGTTGCTCAACTAGATTTTTAGTGGCTGTGAGAACATACATTTCATAGAAAATACGCTGAAAGGAGTTCTAAAAGCTTTCCCACTACTGTCTTTTGGTTAAATTCAATTTGAACTCCTTCGGTTTAGTCGTTGTTCCGCTTCCTATCGATCGTTCGTATGCATTTTTGCACGCTTCCCCTACAATAATACAACTATATATTTTCAGTGTACGCAATCTGAGTAGTTCATCGTTTGTTTCAAGTACTGCTTGCCTATATTAATCTTATCTTTTTAGCAGACACACAGAGAGTAAGCAAGGAGGGGGTGCGTCGTCAGAAACAAACTGTGTTTTGTTCAAGTTTCAGGCGCACGTGCCGTCGATGCGGGTTAATAGCGTGGACAGTTTCATCATAACCTAATGAGTAAAAATGATCTCCGGGGTAACCGTGATAGTACAGGTAATAAGGTTAGGCGTACGGGTAAGGCGCATAAGACCATATGCTCTTTGGTCAAAAGGCGTTTTTACTACAGTTCATACTTGTAAATTGACTGCTTAGCTTGATTCGCAAAAGTAAATAAAATGTGTTTGACAATTCTAAAAATTTCCCTATATATGGTAGCATGTTATTCTTGCATAAATAGTATGTCCTAATTACTGAATAACGTAACAAGGTCAAACCTGTAACTGGTGACCTGTGATCGCGACGCACCCTCGACCATATTGTTACCAGGAGCTATTGCAATAAATCCACATTGCTACTGTTTACTAGAATTACTGCCTTCTATTATTAGCTGTTAACATGAGCGAGGAAAGGTGTTTTAAGGTTTCCGACCTGGCGGAATACAGGTCGTGTCCGCAAACAGCAGTTTCCGCAGTGATCATATTGTATATTGCCGTTTGTATGCCTTCGTAGGAACCGCGTCGTATAATTAAATCTAGGTTTTATTCTATATTTTATTATATAATTATCGCTGCTACCAGGACCAAGTGCTTTGGCTTAGTTCCTATCTAGCGATGATGTCTAGCAATGCCAGTGCAGCGACAGTGTAAACTGATGCACTGGCATTGTTACCGGCCTGACCAGAACCTCAGAGCAGATAGTACCATCAGTCTATTTCTTCGTGCATGCTTCTTATCTGTTAGTTAATGCGAGACACCTAGTTGTATAACATATTCTAACAACAATAGTTGAAGCCGTCCGGAATATTGACGAAAATGGTGGCTTCGGTATCATCATCTTATTATATCCCTTTGACTTATTTTCTGATTTACAACCGTAGGTGCCGCTGCCCCAGTGGCCAATCATCGCCAGCCATGTCGGATTCGACTGCGCGTCGCGATATCAGCAGTCGTATGGATGGAAGTGACGGCGGTACGCATGGAAAGCCAGCATTAGCATCAGCTTATATGTGTGCATATACATGCCCGTAATAAAGTCATGTTAGTCCGGCCTGTTGTCTCGGATGTTATAAACACAAGCACTTCGCTCTTCAGTTACAATAGCAGCACACATACACACATATATATACACATATAATTTCATTGGTCGATAAGAGGCAATTGTAATGATGCTCTTACAACTGAAGTCTATCTGCTATCGACTAAACAGTCGTCGAATTATCATTCTCCCTAACGGCGTGATATAACAATGAAGAAGCAATTTTTAGCTTTCCTACTACACAGGTCACTTCGGTCTTCTGTTGGTGTGGGCTTGCCCCTGTTGCTGCTGCTACTGCTGCTGCTGCTAGCGGTTAGTCGGTACTTCGTTGATACTATCACTGTCGCTGCCTTGAACGCCTTCGGAGGGGCGAATGGCGCTGTTGGTGGCTATGCATTTGTATCGATCCTGTCACGCTATAGTCCACCATCGTGAGCCTTCTACCATTATACACTTACAAGTACCACTTTCACTCCAAAGAGTGGAAGTAGGCAGTCGCTGTCTCCTGCCAGCGGGCAGTAGACTGACGAAGACCCGTCTGTGCTACGTGAAACTCCTGTCACGGCAGATACACACGCATATCGATTACATGCACGTGCATAGGTGCTATAAAGCGTGCACAGACCCTGTTTAAGTAGACTGTACGTATTTACAATAGAGTATTTATAACGTGTAACAGTTTATTTTATTATCGCATAGGTCGATAGATGTATCTTTCTGTATACTATACACGATTAAGCCTCACAATTTTGAGACAGTTTTGTAGAAAGTATACATACATACAGGGCATCCCAAAACAATGTATACACGTTTTTATTTTTGCGTATAATAAATATTTAATTTACCAAACAATGTACATAAATTGTATAATTTTTCCTCCTACAACTGATATCACAATTTTAATCAATACATTATTATTATTAATGGCGTGCCATCAATTCACAGATCTTCCAGCGTCGCGTGACCTCTATCTTTAAGGTGCCCTTCATGGAAAAGTTCAATAACGCCTAATCTGGCAAATGGGCAAGATATTCCACGGGACATTTTCGTTTGCCCTAGCTGTTTGGACATTTTCATCAGGATATATTTTTACATCAAATAATACTGTGCAGGTACTGCGTCCTGCTATAAAAATAGAATAACCACGTTTGCTAAGAGAAAGTTCCGTGGTGAAGGAGGGAATAACGTGTGGTAAAACATATCCTTGCAGTAGATTAAAGTGATTGGCCCTATTCATTGCGACGTCAACAAGAGAATGATCCAGTTAAATTATAATGGCCGCATGTTTTCGTACACCTTGTCTATATATATATATATATAACGGGTCGCTCACTGATAAAGAAAGTGAGACTGTAAATCAGAGGGGACACTGTTGGCCGATTCAACAAGGAGTGAATTGATGCAGTTGTCTCTGTAGCAATACTTTGTATAGATTGTGCACGTTCCATATTTAGCCACAGGCGTATGCATGCCGGCCGTATGAACATGTTGCAACCATTTTTGGTAGAAAGCTCGTCATTAATATGCCAATGGAGATCCGAGAGCCGTTACGACCGAGAAGTACTCGGCGACGATAGCCAATGTTTTAATAAGGCTAATTCCCACAATGGGCATCTAGACCATGGCTTTATCCAATAGGGCAATAGGATCAATTATAATGACATCATGCAGATAGGAATATACAAGGTATGGACCGCTTGCAGAATGATCGACTGTTACCTCGAATTAGTTTCACTGTTATTATCGCCGTTGTCACGGTAGTTTTCGCCGCTTACCACGGCTGCCGCCATTACTACCGAATTGAGGATAGCTTTCACAAGAGTCTGTTCCAGGAGAGCTCATTTCGCTGGGGCCATAGTGTTGACAACTAATTCGTAGTGTGTGACGTAGATACATAATATCACTTGTTTCGACACAGCTAAACATGATTTTCCGTTTGATTGTCATTGTGATCTCTACAGAGATACGACACCTATATTGTGTCATAGACATCACAGCAAAAGCCGTTGTTCCATAGTTGACACGCAGGTTTGCGGCGGTTAGATGCGCCTCTGCATGAGCTACGTGTTTAATATTACGCGCGATTCTAGTATTGTACATAGTTAAAATATGACTTTACATGTGAACAGAAAAAAGAATAAGTATTTCAGAAGTGGGCTTGATATGTCCATATTTTGTATCTTTGCTTTATACGGTAATTCGTCATTGAAAGCCTAGCTGAAATGAAAATCGTAGGTGCAACGATGAGATACATGTCACCAGCAGCTATTTAATGATGAACGGTCGAAAATTCTGGTAGCCACTGTTACTTCCTTTACGACAATCATATGTAAAAAGGCCCGTGAGCCTCGTTTGCGTCTGACCTCGCTATCTTCAATCGGTTCCATGATCAGCTCCCGCTGAGAAGCTAGCCGGGCTTTTCGTCATGCGTATACGGCCTCTTCTAAAGTCATCTTCACTCATTTAGCAGAACCGGTCTGCCTTTAAGCATAAAATTGTGTATTTTTCAGTTATTGTCGACTACTAGGCAGAGTTCTACAATTCAACGCGTTTATAGAAAGGAAGTCGAAAAAAGAAATGGTGTGTCTCACGGTTTCGCAGCTCGTTTCAAGCAGCATACTGACTTATCCATATGACGACTGCGGCTGCTCCATAAGTGTAGAAGTAACATACGGAACGTGTGGTAAGAGTCTGGCCGCCGTTACATGCCCATCATGGTGTCACCGCAACGTCTGAAGCTTGCTTTTCGTAAACAGCTTCATTAGGATGGACAGAGGTTGGCCCGTTCGGAGCACTATCCATGACGCGACGGCATCAATAGCTGTCATGTTAAGATCAGCCGATCGACTGCGTCGTGGACGACATTTTTAGTTCTCGTCAAAAGGCAGATCTGTATCGCTGATTTTGGAATTTGTGTTTTGGCTTTTGTTTGTAGTGAAGTCGTTTCGGAGATGCCCCTCTCAGCTACGTTTCTTCCAGCCAGTTCACCATTCAAATGAAAAAAACAGCGTATATAGAGGCGTACGTAGGAAGCTCTACGTGAAATAGCTATGCACTCTATAAGCAACTAGTGGAACAGTTGTAAGGACTCGAGATTAACACCGTCCATAGACAGACAGACAGACGGACAAACATGTGATAAGTCAACCTTTTACAACATTGCCGAGCAGTGAGCGAATTCTCGAGCGTCGACAATAAACAAGAAGCACTAATGATAGATCAAAACAGCCAACAGCCCCAGCAGAACGGCAGAGGCTAGTGGAAAGAAAGAACAATCACTTGAAGAAAGCGACAATGATTTTGTACAAATGATTTGTTCTTCCACGACGCTATTTCCGGTAAAAGCTGAGGTCTGGTGCGACGCTTGCTTTCGGCCACAGCATCACCTCAGTCCCAGTTCGTGCAGCTGCTCCCCGGACTGTTTTTAATGTTAGCACCGCGAATAGGAAAGAAAAAAATTCATTCATTTGTTGTCAACAATGACATTTTTAATAATTCATGCACTTCGACGAATACCAGAAATCATATGTCATATGTTTTTTCAGCCTTCGTGAAGCAGCAGGCAGAGATGAGGCGGATAAAAACGACCGATAAACCGAATGCTGCTTGAAGCTCAATGGTAACTTCAACGAACGTTTACAAAATACACACTTGTGCTAGTATCCAACCCGTCCGATACACGTGCACCAATCAATATCTGTTTTATTACAGGTGCACGCCGTAACCACTATTGGCTTATGATAAAAACGTAGGCATTCAAGCAAGCTTCCACCCCAATAGATATCTAGACCATGAAATATTTTCGTTGCAACAACCGGCTTGTAAAGAATTATATACGGGTAGCCAACCTTATGTATATTTTTTAGCTTGGGGCTTTGTTTGGACGGCTACTCCTCTGTCGTAAAAAAAAGAGGCCGAAGGTCACCCAAATTAAGGTGCCACCATTGAAATAAACAACTCAAATCGTGTGACTAAATAGGAGCAAAATATTTCAAGTATTAATATTTCATGAAATCATGCAGACAAATTATTCGAGATTTTATTGATAAAAAACTAATCTAAGTCTTACAGGAGCATTTTAAAGGATTTATAGAAACCATAGCTCTGCTGATCCTTCTTTGCTTCATATAGGATACGACTACTCTATATTAGGTCTTTTCTATAGTCCGTTGTTGCAGTTCAACTTGTCTATTTCGCGTAAAAAGTAACTACAACGTCGGGGTTCTCAATCGTTAGGATTGGAACAGCTTCTAAAGCGGCTACGGAGTACCGTAGTTGCCATGCTATATTTTGTTAAGTCTCAACCTATGTTACTTATCAAATCTATTTAATGGCTGTTATCCTCGCTTAATTTTTGTATCTAGTCGTATGATTTAAAAAAAAAAAAGGCACCATTTGAATACATTGGATTCGATATAATTTATTTTCAGCATAATAATACTAATAGCCATCGCTACGAGTTCCACCATCATAATGTTTCCATAATATAATCATTCTATTGTTAGCGTTTTTGTGATGTTTTTATCGACTTCACAGACAGACAGACAGACAGCCACACACACACATACACTCACAGACACGCGCGCGCACGCACACACACACACACACACACACACACACACACACAGAGATACACACATGTACACACAAATCTTTATCTTAACTAAATGTGTTTCTGTTGACCTGCTGAAAACTTCAAGCAGACATCTAGGACAAGCCATTCTTCGTCGTGTCATATCGTTAAGTCATTGTCCTTTCCTGTAGGCCTCAACCATTTTAGATTGTATACTAAAGTGTTCTCAGATTTTATTTCTAGCGTTTGCTATTTTCACCTTAATAGTGGCTCTTGTGAAGTGAATTCACTAATACTCGGCCCGATTTCGTACTCTTAACACTTGTTTCTTTTGCATTTTTGTTTGTTAGCAGATTGTCCATTGTTAATTCTGTCGTGTGAAGACAATGGAAGATAAATAATATCGTTTCCTTTGATCTTTCGTCGTATCATGTATACCTAGCCATGTCTATTGCCACATTCTTCGTGAAGAACTTTGTCATGATGTTTTAATACGCTACGTTCCTTTTTCCATTCGTCTGCGTCTTTTTTCCTCGAGTAATTAATATCAATGTAATGATCGTTATTACCACTGATTAGACACCACCACAACGACAGATCCAGTTTAATTTCGTCGTCATCATCTTCTCCCAGCGATGGCGGATTCGTTTGACATCAACATGGGGATACTTCGTGTCTCTGCCTGGTTGCGAACACAGACACGACCTCTTCTTTATCATCATAGATTCTTATCGTTAATCTACTACTACTACTACTACTACTATTATCATCAATATGTACAAGATTGCATCTAGGAGGTAGGACCACTTATTCCGGTCTGTACGTGTTCGTGAACGGTTTGTGTGAATAAAGAAAGCTACGTGTGTGTGTGGGCGCGTATGTGTTTATTGTTATTGTCGTTTCCTTTTTCGTGATTCAGCCAGGGCCGTGGAGGCCGCCGATCTCACTATGTGCGAGGCCATTGTGTTCGCCACGATCGATCAGAAAAGAAATATGGCTCGGTCCAATTGATGGGCGAGTGTTAAAGCATTAACTACTACCATTGGTGCTATGAATAATAGCAATAGTGATTATAGCCATAATTATAATGTAATATGTAACTATGTACTTTTTATTATACATAACAGGATATCATTGGGAACTAGGATTTTGTCGGTGTTTCCGGCACCCGTCATCTCCTTACAACCGCTGCACGTCGTTACGGTAGCGAGCGGATTATACCATATTGTTTAGGTGCCGATGTGTGTGTCTGCGGGTGTGTGTGTGTGTGCGGGTCGAATTGGCTGCAATATCCCTGGCATTACATATTGCGGCGGGGCCACAGGCCTTCAAAAACCGTTGGCGTCGTCGCACTCTTTATTTAGCGCTATCCGTATTATGTATATCTTTCTGCGAAGAGACAAACGTTCGAATGCTCACACATACACTCACATCACATATACACTGTCTGAGTATCACTACTTCAGTCGTCGTGATTATCGTTTCGTGTACCTCATTGCCTTCTGTATTATTGCCTACGGAATGGCGGACGCACTCGCTCCGAACGGAAGTGCATATATATATATAGATCTGCGTCAAATTGTTTACCGTCTACTGATGAGAGCGACCAAACTATCGTCGTCGTTGACGAGCCACCACCTATTAGTAGTAACATGCATCCCCGTTGACCAAGCGGTGACACTATATACCTAAATATGTATAGGTAGATTTATTCATTGTAGAGGTTTGTCCTCTTTGTCTGTCTGTATCGTTTGTTTTGTCTATTATTAATACTGCATCGCATTTCACCGGCCAGAGTTGTCAGGAAGATGCCGAAAATCTGTCTCAGTTTACTTCAGACCTCCCATATTATCGACTGCGTACGACGGGCTCACGGCTCAAGTCATGTGCTTGTGCGAATGCCACCATTACTTCTATTCAAGGGTCATTTGTTTCCTTTTTGTTGGTGCTATACATGCGCGTGCTATTGTCGTCATTCGAGCGTTTGGTTGCTAACTGCTTAACGGCACGCAGCAGTGGTCGCGTACGATACCAGTACAACAAAGATGGCGTGACAAAGGCTAAAGTTGTAGTGAACGCCTTAAATCTAGTGTCAATAATATGCAAATATAATTAATAGGACCTTTTTTTAGGGCAACACTTTTCTTTCTGCCAGACGCGGCCATTGCTAAGTTTCCGTTCTTGTTGGCAACGCGCACAATGTAGGCTCTCGAACAGGCTTAAGAGATCATCGGGATTATTTTGCGACAATGGGATCACGGGGCATGTGAATGCAGGGAGGTGGGGGCGAGGCGCAAGATTCTTCTGGTCGTAACGTTACTTCCAGCTCCGCTCACGGTGAATGCGAGGCAGGCGCAGGGGAACTAGATGGCGAGGGCGAGCACACGTCAATTTGGGGACTCGAACGACCAGGCGTGGGTGGTAGAGACAAGCAAAGACCGCCTGTCTGGCTTTGTAGTGGTGGTACTCCTGCTTGGCCAACAGACGAAGGCGGTGGTGACATGAGTGGCGGTGTGGACCGTGTTAGAGGGTACGGGCTAAAACGCGATGCCGATACCGGGGGACTTTGACGTAACTGTTGTTGCTGGGCTGCTTGTACGAGGGCGGCTTGACTGAGGGCAGCCATTCGTAAGGCGTATATCTGTTGTTGTTGAATGGCTTCGGCTGTCGCGCTGGACGGGGCGCTGGATGCGGCTCCAAGCGGCCCATGCTGCGCGAATAGAGCGAGCTGCTGGGCATAGGCAGCCGCCATATGTTGCAGATAGGCAGTAGGATCGGCTCCCGTTAGGCCAGGGGCACCAGGAAGTCCTGACAGGACCTCGTGTCCTGACAGCCCGCTAGGGTCGGCCATGAGTCGACTGAATGGATTGTCACCGAGAATGCTCTCCATGGTCTCGCTGCAAACAGATGGAACACAGCCAGTGTAATAACAAGGGTTAGACATATGCGTAGTACTTATGGCCTTGTTGCCAGAACACTAATACCAGCAAAGCTACAAGTGAGTTGAAAGGTTCCCGCCGCTGCCGCTGGCATAGACGCACACACACGAGACTCGATTCCATGGACCACACCGGTTGCGCTGACGACCGCTCTTCTACCTTCCGCGTAACAGCTCTCTCTTCTTGCGCTGTCTTCCTACCTATATGACTTTCTTTCGTTCGCTCACTCTGGGAAGTTCGCTAGCCCGCTGAGTAACTATGTGAGTGTCTTAGTGCTTTTAAGACAGAAGGAAATGACTTTGTACGTTCCGCTCTGAAAGACACTTCTTCTTCTTAGTTTCTAGCTAAATAAGAGTGCCTGCGCTGGTGGCCACACCAGTCTTAAGATGGTCGAGCGCAACAAAGAACGTCAGGCCACGATGCCGCACCCCGCCACGACAATCTCACTTTGCATTGACAGATAGATACATTACATGGGCGCAATGTCGCTGTCGTTGCGGCTGTAGCTTTGCCACACTGAACTCATCAGGGTCATGTGAAAAAGGCCCGTTACCAAAACAAGACACTTACCGTTCGAGATCGCTGAGTCGAGACGAATCGCGGAATCCCTTGGCGAAGGGGTTCGAGTCGATCTTGAGCTTAGTGATGAGCTGGTTCTGGTAAGCGGTCACGGCTGTAAACGTCGTCTCGGGAAAGACGAACGTTGTGCACTCTTCATCGTCGACGTTACCGATTGGATTATTGGCTGCCGAGGCGCGTCTCCGGATCAGGTGGATACGCGGCTGGTACTTGTGCATCGAGTTCAATACAATCTGTAAGCCGAAACAACAATATTGTTGAACTTGAAAATGACAGCTCCAGCAAAATACTGTTGCTACCCTGCTGATTTACATTTTGGCCCCCCTCGAATAACAAGAAGATAAAGTAGAATAGGCATGGAAAAGAAAAATCTGGAGATGGAAACAAGCAGAACGAAAAGGGCACTGGAAATCGTTGACCACCAAACACAACTGCGGTCTGATCACACGACTGAAGTTCATATGGCCTGATTCTAGAACTGATTAAAAAAGCGGTATCGGGTTGAATGCGGCCGTTCACTTCGAGGCAGCTACGACATCGCATATAAAACTTACCATCAATGAAGAGCTGCCCCTGACAACAACGAAAGGCCAAACATTTATCAACTCGTACTAATAACTATATAATTGTGGTGATAATGAAATTCTGCATTGACCTCCGGATGTAATATATTTACATAAAAAGGTCACGTGATCTCTCGTATAAGCGCACAAGTGGAGCACCAGGATAGCAAGAAAAAAAAAGGACGGTGCCAATGATTGGCCTTTTTAAGTAAGCATATCACCACCGCCAGGTTCATTCGATCTGTCTAGTGGTGACCGCATTAAAAAGGCCGTTGACAACAAAGAACCGAAAACGAGCTCTACTCGCTTTATTTCTCAATCAACTGATATCTGTTGCTTGTTGTCGTATTACCATTCAAGCAAAGCCAGCAACACGCGAATGCGCGTCACGCACTACGCCCACGTTGTCGGGCAAGCAAATAGCCGCTACACGTTACCAGCTGACAGTGGAGGCAACAGCATCAGCGTTACTCACAGAGCATTAGACCTAGTATAGGTAGGCAGCATGGCAGGCATGGTAGCCGTTGACACTTGATAGGCTATGAAACAGACTGTGACAACAACTACCAAGTGGTTCTCTTTTTTCCTGAAGTTACAGCAGTACCAAGTTTCAGCCTTTAGGCTATTCTGTGCCGTGCGTGTACGCAACGTACCCGAGCATGGTGGGTGGCAGGCAGTTAGTGCTGAGCCTGTGGAGATAGCACATGGCATGCAAACGCTTCGTACCAGCACGAACTGGAACACAAACGACTCGTTGCGATCCGTGCGCTACTCGACAAATCTCGATGTGACCTCATAAGCTACTGCTGCTGTTTCCACTAACAGCAACGCCGCCATTGCTTGTCCTCATATGCTGATGAGGCCAACGTCTCGTATGGTCTGTTGGGTGCGCTGCAGCAGTGGCGGCGGCACCAGCCTCCCCGTATCTTACTTTAGACACAATATATATTGGCTGTTTCCTGTATGACTGGTCGGTTAACGCTCTATCGCACGAACCACGAACGATGGATATCTTGACAGCAACGAGGAGGAACAGTTCGGTCATCAAAGGGCTTTTAAACAGGTTCATTTTTAACTGTGCCCATAGCTACCTACCTATCGACGTTTGCCTAATAATAAGTGCGAGCGTGAAAGTGTATGGGATCTTATTTATAGGGTTTATTGGCTGTTTGTGTGTATTTACGGGCATAGCACATAATGACGTTGGCAACCTCCATCATTGTCATCAATAACAGCAGCAGCAGCAGCAGCGCGACTATAGTCAAAGCGCCAACGCCTTTCCCAACGTAAAAACGGGTAAACATTGTGGTCAAATACTAAGAACAGTACTCATTGAGCCCTTTCTGCCATCGAGACCTGTTGCGAGTAAGAATACTTCATATTGACGGTATAAAAGTCATGAAAAGTCCAAAGGGCTTCTCCTATCTTCCTCATTACAACAAGCCTCAGCCGGCTTAAGTTACGGTTACACAGACTCTGTGTGGGTTGATAGATACGTGCATATGGCCGATCACAGCCATCTCCAATGACAACGAAAAACAAACCAGGAACGAGTGGGGGCAGCAACGTATTCTTTCCGTATGGTCACTACTTGCTGTACAAAAGACAACAGATGACAATGAATATCGACAGGCATCACCTCGACGAGGTCATCTCTTCAACTGCCATCGTGCGATACGGGTTCGGCGAAAATTGTGAAACGGACAAAACTTCGCTACGTCTGTTGGCTTGCTGGCCTACTTGAAGGCCTGTCGTGTGTCGGTGGCCGGGTGAGTGGCACCTCGTAACGCCGATTATGTAGCAAAGCGTCAACAACAGCGATCGTAACAGCAACTGAATCAAGACGAATTCCTCGCATAGCATCGAAGACATAGCTTCATCGAAACCTAATGGTACGGAGACAGCCGCGTTCGAGCGTGCGACGTTGCTTCCCCAAAATTGTCAAGATGCGTTTTCTGGGCATGCTAAGATGCTGTTGTTGTGCTACCTGCAACGAGCACGAAGTCAAGCCAGCAAAATTGTCTCTGTGGCATTCCAATGACTCATCTACTAAGAGCAGAGCATTAGTCTAGTACTTATTTAATTTGTGTTTGTAAACATTCGTTGGCGACACTCACTATTTCGAATGAAAGTGCTAGCTTCGGCCAGCACATATCGAGCACCGATCAGCAAGAACAAAAGGCTTTATACTAAAGGCACGTACGTTAGGCCACAATGAGTTCGTTGCTTGCTGTCATCTCCTATCTGAGACAGGGAGAGCAGCGGGTGGTCTATAAGCTGCTTGCTACTCGTACTACAACGATTGTCGATGAGATCGTCGAGGTCGCCTTTCGTGGCTATAGGTGGGAGCAAAGTACAAGCAGACGACTGTAGTCGGTCTGGGGGTGACACGGCCCCTGGAGTGGCTTCTGCCGTCCGCCACTTGTTCAGTGGATAGATTCTTCTCGGAATCCGAGCGATACACGATGGACGATGACACTTCGGACGGACTGATGCTGGATACTGGTGGCTCATTTTTAGTTGGGCAGCTGCAGCGGCCAGAGCATTAGCAGCACGGACGGCTCCATCGAGAGGGCGACCCATCCAAGGGCGATATGTGATGCATATGACAAAACGACGACGACGACGACGATAAAGATGACGTCGACTAAGAACAATGGTATAACAACGACAGCTCGTATTTCATCTGCTAGTAGTACTACCTCTCATGTGCGAACGTTTCAACGCCTCTTCGCGTTCGCTAGCCATCTTGTCAGCAGCCGTCGCCGGCGTTGCTATTCCTTTGATGACCGCTTCCATTACCACGACTTTTTCTGCTGCGACTACTAACGTATAGTAACTATGTACAGTATAAATCTGCCCCTGATTTCGCATCACTTTTGGGTGGCCTTGATGATTTAACTGGTTGTCGACAGAAGCGAGAAAACACAAGAAGGGAAGAGAAAAGGCTGACCCGGAGGACAGAAAGGAGACAGAGAGAGAGAGAGAGAGAGAGAAAGAGAGAGAGGAGAGAGACAGCGGAAGACAGAAAAAGATTGCATGCAGTATTGATGAACAAGTCGAACGCTCGCTTCCAAATAACCGATAAATGCAACGCATCGCTTGATGAGGCCAAAGTGTAATAATTTTCTAGTAGAAATTAGTCGGTACTTACATGTCCTTGCTTGTCCATTTCGTTGTTGGTAAGTTTGACCTTTTCGAAGGAGACGACCTGCTTCCGCAGTTGATCGGCGGCGTACGGGGAGTCGGGATGCTGATAAAGACGGTTCGGCGAAGGTGGATCAGCCTTGCCTGCCACCAGCCAGCACGAACGATGGTAAGCGTACCGGTAACGCTTGTTGTCGCACGGGACGATGTCAAGTAGCACATGGTACCGGTGCTCCGCTGAGATCGCCGGTAGACCGCTGAACGATACGCGGACCGTTGGGAACATCCTCCTGGAATAACCAAATTGAAAACCATTAAACATAATGTTTCGCAAGTAAACAATGAAATATTGTGCCTTATTATCGTAGGTGCAACGATTGACTGTACTTTAAACATACTCTCGACATTCGACCTTATCATCTTTGCAGACATTTTCTTGCCCTCTATCGTAGTGATTTCTCTATCGCGTTCCATCCCTTACGCCCCAGCCCATTTACGGTCGACTTCAGTTTTTTCATTTGCCTTTCTACGAGACCGAGCGACAGCACGAATCATACGCGTCTAGCTTCTGATTACGGTTGCTGCTGACAGTAGATCATATGAGAAAGCGATTGTACTGATCGTATGAATAACTGTAAAAGCAGCTGTACTATCGCTTCTGTAGCGGCCGATCAACGCCAACTATACGGCGCAGCTCACGTCGTTGCCACTTATACAACGGTACCAGCGCAACCTTCGCCGCAGCCTGTTGTTGTTGTGGATGCTGGCGTGTCCGTGTCTTTCTCTGCATATTGTCTACCTATTCTTTTCGCTGTTGTTATCCATAACATCTGACTGCTAATGGCCTGCCTGCCTGCCTGCCTGCCTGCCTGCCTGACTGATTGAATGACTGACAACTCCGCTTTTATTCTTCTAACAAGCGCTATCTGATTCCATTTGATTCACAGCTATGCGTGCCGCTCCCGTTGCCGCCGCCGTCAGTGGCACATATTTGACGCGCTCGTGTCCTGCTGCTATTGTCATCGTTTTGCCGGCTACCGTCAGGCGGTTCGTCCATCCATCCGTATGTCGGCTTTACCTCAGTTGATCGCGGTTTCTGCCGCCTCCATCTTCGCCTTCGCTTGTCCGATTTCGAGCGCCTGCCCAATTCAAATTAGGCATTTACTTACTAGCAGCAGAGGGAGAGACAGTTTAGCACGGTAGTGGGGCCTGCGAGTGCCGCTACCGCTTAGATTGATTTGCGCGCTTCGCAATAGGTCGCCGCTTCGTACAAGAACAACAGCAACTCCAGCCGTCGTAACAACAAGCACAACATCGAATATGTTATTTTTTCGAATTGAACCATTATTTGTGGTGTTTAGTTGTGGCGACGTGGGTCGTCGTTTGACTGGCCGGCTGTTCATTTTTGCTGATACCAGATGCTCTGCGTCAACTACGCAGCTAAGGCACAGTCGATATTTGAGAAATTTTCTTTGGTCTACTGCCTATTGATTCAAAATAGTACGACCATTACTAGCAACGGTTAAACCTGAAGGGGCTTATATAGCCGTCAAGCACAATTCCTTGTCATGATTAGGGGCCACTACTAAGGCCGCTATTGCTTCACAGCGGAACAAAAATAGGCTGAGCAGTGGCGAGGTGCCCGGAATCGATAGTTCGTCAACTTCAGGTTCTTCTGAACACCCGGACGTACAGTCGCCTAAGCGAGGACTACTGCAGCAGCAGCAGCAGCAGCAATAGCGGCGGCAAACTTCAAATTGAATAATAACAGTAACAAGAAGGGATAAGAAACGACGACGTCGAGGAACGTCAAGCATACAGTTGCATATGTAGCAACTGGTGCACAGATTCGTTCGTGCGTCCTCAAGCCAGCCATCAGTTGAACTTATCTTTTGGCGATCCTCCTCAACTGGATGGACAGACCTGACGTCGGAATTACGGCTAATGGCGTCCGACGTCAGTCTGTAAGATGCCGTAGACTAGAATCGTCTGAGTCAATATTGGCAGTTTGAAGTAGGGAAAGAGAGAGAGCAACACTCTTAGGCGGAGGAGGTTGATAGTACAAGCATAGGTAGATGTGCTGATCGATCGATCGATCGATCGATCGACCTATGAACAAAAATTAAAAGAAGGGACTAGCGCTACAAGCATTGGCTGCTTATTTGCGCTGGTCACCTCTATATATACTCTTTTCTGTGTAGGTGTCTTTATGTTTGTGCATGCCTGCATCAGTAAAGATGCACAGGTTGATACGCGAGTGCCCACATATGGCTACTTGTGTACAAGTTTTCCTACTAAGGATCACCTATGTCGAACATCTCCGATAAAAGATAGAAGCGTTTTTCGATTCGTGGTGCTTTGCGTCCATTATTCTCACGTTTGGCCCACTATTTGTCATAGACATCAGAAAATTAAGCATACATGCCAGGTTATTCGTAGAAGATGATCGCCTAAACTCTCTATCGGCATCCATAACTAGAAACAAAGAAAGAGACTGAGCCTACTATCAAGGTGGGAATTCAAATCCCTTCAAAACAGTTCAACTGTTACGTGTACGCTAAATTCAATGTTTTCAGCTCGCTCAATTGTCTTACAACAAAATGTTTACTTCGTTCGCCACCAAGTCGCCTAAGCATTTGCTATTCGTCGAACGTTGCCATCATACAACGGCCAACGATGCGTGTCCGTGAATAGGGTAAAGCAAGATCGAAGAAAGCGTTCCTTCCCAGCAGGGAGCGAATTCCTCCGGAGTTCATCTCCCGCCAACGATAACGGCTCGCGACGCCAAATCGGAGCTGTTGCTGATCAGGTAAATACGCTTTTGGTCGTACACACGCGCGTTGTCATCGTTTTTTTTCTATTTATTTTGTCCTTCCGTTTTGTTGAACGGAACGTAAAGGATGTGTGCGGTATCGGCAATGCATAACATTGGTGACGTCAAGTTCACTGCGCTGGCAAGAAGTAGATGGGTGAAGCTGTGATATAGTGGTTGTGCTGTTCTTGCTCCTGCTGTATAGAGTCAATATTTATTCAGTGACTACGATCGACAAGACGGTCCATAACAATGTTCACTCGTTGACGCTCCTGATCATTGATTACAGTACGTTCAAATGATGTAAAACTTTAAACGCGTGCGAACACGACCACCGCGATCCATCCAGCGGGTGGCGTTAGACCGTTGTGTTTGACGACGTTGACGCCAACGCTAACGGTCGTCACAACTAGCGGTGTAGCCGCTTTACTAATACATTTAGGGTATACGGAGAGCTCTGAACACCCCTGCGGGCGTCATGCGGGATATGTGGACATGGTCCACATAACACTATGTATAAGGGATTGTGGATGCCACCGAAATAGTAGCCATTATATCACACAAATTCACCGTGCTGGTTAAGTTGGAATAGATGCAGACATAAATTTCGTCACATTCCATGGTGGTTTTGTGGCGATGTCTCAACGGGTCGTTGAGACATCGCCCCTATGACCTTTTCGAGGGGCAAATGAACGAATCCGTTGAATTTAGTGTCTTCACGTTAACAACAACAATAACAACGGAGATTTACCCGCGTAACTTCGATCCTTCTGCAGGAGATGTCGAGATGGGCACTTACGTCAGATATTACATGGCTTTATCTTTTACTCAGACCGTCCCTCTTATGCCTTTAATTAAGATGTATTGTATGATTCGCTGGTTAAACCGTACAAATCAAGGTCTCTACCACTTTCATAGGGCGTGAGTTACTTTTAATGACTAACAGGATCGGTTGGATCCGAGACATGCGACACTTCAGCTTCGTTAGGATTGATATTCAATTTCAGTTGCACGGCTCCTTCTACATCTGTATTTGTGTGTGTGTATATATGTATATATATATATATATATATATATATATATATATATATATACATGTTAAAGAACCCCAACAGATCACAAACCAGTTGCTTTGGCAACTGGCTATTTTGCCATTGCGCTGCACCAAAATCGATAGTATAAAGTATGAACCCTCATGCAGCCTAGGCTGCATGAAGTATTGTTGAACATGCAGCACTTCATTTCGTAGCAGCCTGTGTGTAACTACACACATACAATGCATACCGTGTGCATGCATTGATTTGTAAAAGAATAGCTATCAATGACAGTAACAAGTCCTATATCTATACTCGTTTACTTGTAAAAGTAGTAATTATCAACATTGAACTGGTGATTCTTCTAACAGAGTACAGTAAATACATAAGCCGGCTGTTGTATCATACGAGCATCCTGTAATTTATAATTCTATAGCTAGTTTTGTTGTGGCCTGTACATTTCTCTCTCTCTGGGAGACGACGGGCATTTCGTTGCATCATTCAAACTAGTGGGTTCGACGATGATCTCATCCTACAGAAGAAACAATAGTGACGAAGTGTTCCCTGCTTTTGATGATCACCGGGTGGCCGCTACCGACCTCGTTCTTATCCTCGCTCCAAACTTAGTCTCTTTCACTGTTGCTTCTATAGACTAGTCGATCGGGTGATTGTCCCGATTAGCTGCAGTGAGTCGCTGGCCCATCTCCCTACCAGTAGGCCCCTGAGGTGCGGGAACGAGGCTCATTAAGAAGGCTTCATAGCGAGAGAATCACTCGGGAGAACGAGCCGGGCGAAAGTCGTCAGACAAGGCATCGCTCTGAATGTTCAAGTTTGTGCTACCTACTAGCAGTCTTGCTTGCTTCTTCTCTGATTAACTCAATGTGTTTTCTTCCCTTATTACCTTGTCTAGTCCATACGCAGTCATGTGTGTTTGCACGTAGTGCATAGACAATGAAGGCCTTCCATGCAATGAACTCTACGGATCACTCCTCCTTTGGCTGCAACCATTCTTTAGTTCCTTTCAGTCCTCGTCCACATCATGATTGCTCCTTCTTGCTCCCCTCTCGTCCATGCAAAAGGATCACTTACGCATAAAAAATGATGGCATAAAAATTCTCCCTCATGCCAGCCACTACAGGAGAGACAGAGGTTGTGACCAACACCAATATATTAGTACACACGCGCACAAAGCGCGGCTTTGGCCAGCCTGATTACCGTTCCGCTGCCGGCGATCGAGTCGCAATTGACTTTCGGGGTAGTGTAGTGGCAGGGAAGGACTGTGCAGACTTCGACCATGATGATGTGGCAATGTTCTGCCCGTTTATCGCGATTAAGTATCATCGCGATGACATGCGTATCTATTCGTAAACACACAGGGATACGCTCAGAACTCCACCCAACAATATCGCAACATCGAACTAGACCCTCCCTGCACGGTTCCTTG